ATGATTTGAAAAAATTTCTTACATATTTGGGGATTTTTAACAAGTTAATATTTATATTTTAGTTTTCTCCAACTGCGCTTTTTAAATTCTAAAACTGATAAGCCAATTTTAAGTGAAGCAGCACAAAAGGAGAAAGAAAACATAAGTAACATTTGACAGGTTATTGATACTTTCAGAAAGCAAATTAATTTGTTAGTTACCAGTGTTATAATGTAGAAAAAGGAAAGTCTTTTTCAGATTTTTTTTTATAACAAAAATTTACAAATAAACTCAAAAGAAAAGATAACATACAGTGAACCCTCATGTTCTATTACTCAACTTTGGTAACCATCAACTTTTTACTATTCTTCAGACAATATTTTTTATGGCCAATGTTTCACGAATCCCAAGAAAAACCTATCATCACTAGCATTCAATTCAGACTCACAAAACATTTCTGGATCTTCTAAAGACTCCATCTCTTCCATTCAGAGTGGTACAGTTCAAATTTAGTGGACTACCCTGAAGGAAATAGCTTATTTTCTCAATTTCAATTATTTTATATCTGCTTATTTCAAAATCAACTAGAATACCAGATGGCAGAGAAAGCCCCAAAGGTATTGAACTCCTCTCTGTCCCAATTATGTTCTCAGTGGTCAAGAAGATGTCAACTATTGACACAGGTAACTACGTGGGTAAATCTTAAGCATTGCTGTGCTGAATAAAAGAAGCCACACATAAAGGGCTATATCTTGTATGATTCCCTTTTTTGTGATATTCTGAAAGGCAAAATTACAGGAGCAAGAATGAGATCGTTGCTTGCCAGGAACGGGGGATGAAGGGAGGAGACTGAATGGCAAAAAGCACAATGGAACTTTTGCATGACAGAAATGCTGTATATCCTTATGTGGATTGAATTTGCATAACTGTATACAGTATTAAAATTTATCAAGTTGCACATTTAAGAATGGACAATTTTACTATACATAAATTACACCTCAGTGCATCCAATAAACCTGACTTGAATAATACAAATACCATACCAAGATGTATTCTGATGGATCAAATTCAGTGGACTACCTACTACCTTTCTTAATTCGAGTAACATACCGTGAATGTAGTTAAAACTTAATTTAAGGCAATCTTTTCATATTTGTTTCATATCAATCTTGTGATCTATTAAAATATCCTATATGTGTCCTTTTTTAAAAAAATAACATGCACTATTTCATACCAATGCTTTAAAGATTCTATCTCATATAGTTAAACCCATCACACGAACTTGGCAATATCTTTTTGGAATCTACATAATGCTATCCAAAGTGTCAGATATTCTGGAGAGCTTTGAGTCATCCACAATTTATAGAAAGCATTCTCTTTTTTTTTGAGTTGGAGTCTCACCCTGTTGCCCAGACTGGAGTGCAGAGGCCGCTCCCGGCCGGCCACCGCAGCCTTGACCTGCTGGGCTCTGGCAATCCTTCCGCCTCAGCCTTCCAAGTAGCTGAAACTACAGGCGCGCGCTACCACGCCCAGTTAATTTCTTTTGATTTATCATAGAGATGAGGTCTCGCCAAGTTGCCCAGGCGGGTCTCGAGCCCGCGGGCTCAGGCAATCCACTCACCTCGGCCTCCCAAAGCGCGGGATTACAGGCTGAGCCTCCGAGCTTGGCCTAGAAAGCATTCTTTATAGAAAGCATTGTTCTATATAGAAAAATTATTATTATTATTATTGAGTTGGAGTCTCACTCTGTTGTCCCGGCTGGAGTGTAGTGGCATGCTCATGGCCACTACAACCTCGACCTGATGGGTTCAGGTGATCCTTCTGCCTCAGTCTTCCAAGTAGCTGGAACTACAGGCGTGTGCCACCATGCCTGGGTAATTTTTTGATTTACTGTAGAGACGGGGGTCTCACTAAGTTGCCCAGGCTGGTCTCGAACCCGTCGGTTCAGGCTGTCCTCTTGCCTCAGCCTCCCAAAGTACTGGGATTATAACCTTGAGTCCCCACGACCGGCTAGAAAAATTATTTTAAATTTAGATTTATTACTGGATTACATGAAACATATAATCAGTATATGGTAAGAGAATCTAAATAAACTGATGAGATACCTTTGTTCTTGATAGTTGTTAACATACCTTTGTCATTGTAAGTGTGGTTACACTTACAATGTAATGTTCTGATATTATGTTATTTTTATTTGAAAGAAACATTTTAAATCAGTCTTTTAAATGTTATTAGTGTTACATTATTTTAATTGAATCATATGATCTACCATGAGGTTTTGTTTTCTTCTCTTTTTTTTACTCTTTTTTGAGTCGGAGTCTCTCTGTGGCATGATCACACTACCACAGCCGCCACCTGCTGGGCTCAGGTGATCCTTTCGCCTCAGACTCCTAAATAACTGGGACTACAGGCACACATTACCACGCCTGGTTAATTTTTTCAATTTTATTTTGTAGAGACGAGGTCTCACCATGGCTGGTCTCAAACTCCCAGGTTCGAGTGATTCTCCCATCTTGGCCTCCCAAAGTGCTGAAATTACAGGCGTAAGTCACTGGGCCTGGCCTACTTTACTTAACCTTTGTGTATTTAAAAGTATTTGTACAGTTTTTAAAAAAAACTATGTGGTATTAAATATTTGGATGTGAATATTTCTTAAATCATCATATACATTTGTTCCATAAAACTTAAATTTATGTATATGTAATCCCCGTCTTTTAAAGTAACATCAAGCTATTCTTCAACTGAACTTGTGATATTCCTACCCTTTCAGATTATTCTATGGAACACACACACAGACATACACACAAGATCTCAACTCAAATACCACATTTTCTTTCTTTCCTGAATCCATTTCATTTTTAAATTTAAGGTTAGTATGTAAACATTTTCAATTATAGAACAAAAATTTTTTCTTTCCCCCCAAATGAGGTATATCTCGCCATGTCATTAATGAGAAACCCTGCTATACTCTCACATGATTAGGCTTATATGCTAGAATATTTTATAGTCATGTTATAAGATGTGAAAAGATATTTTAAATAGCATTATAGTCTCAGAAATAATATATAGTTTTGAAACTCCATGATAGTTTTCTGTTTCTATTTACCCATGAATTTCAATCTACCAAGATTCTCAAAACAGAAAACATCAACACAGAAGGAAAACACATGTTTTCCAACCAACCGGCCTCAATTTCTGAATTTGATTTCAAACTTTCTTCTTCCTCATCACCCACTTATTTAGAAATGTCTTAAATTTCCAAGGAAGATATCTGAGACAGATTTTCGCTTGTGAATTTTTTCCGAGGAGGTAAAAGAGTAAATGATTCAATGAAGTACATAGAGCAGAAGAATTAACTTACAGATCTGTGTATAATTCAGGGCATGTACACTGGGGTTTGGCTGATTTTAAATATACAGATTTATCCATTTCATCTTTCATAACATCTTCTTTATTATGCTATGTATGGAAGTGTCAATGAAAACTATTAAACTAGAAAATACTTTATGAAAGTCAAAAATGTTAGTTTGCATTACATTTCAATCTAGAATTATGACTAATCCAAAACTCTGTTCATTATCTCTCTCTTTTTCTAGTTCAGTTCCTGTAATATTCACTGGAAACCCTGAGGGTATCAGAAAGGTCGGTTCTAATATACATCAGTAGACACTGAGGCTGCAAGAAAACCATCTCCTAGTGGTGGTATGATTGTTTTCAAACTGAGAAGCAGCATGTATTTTATCCTTAGTGAAAGTCATGAAAATAATGCAGAAATAAAAGTATAAACTCTACTCATAAACAGGAAAAGACATTTTGCTAAATTCTTTTAAATAGGTGAGAAGTGACTAAATTACTTAGTGAGACACCACACAGTACATCATTTTTTTCCAAGATGTTTAGTAGGAAAATCCATGTAATCTTTTTCCATAAATATTTTTCCAAACAATATTTTCTAAATATTTTAAATTTAGTGATCATTATATTCTTGTTCCTGGGGGGCTTACAGTATAGTTGAAAATATAGCATAGGACCCACATGTACTAAAATTTTGAATCTGTGGTCAAGCATAGTGGCTCACACTGGTAATCCCAGTGCTGTGGGAGGCTGAGGCAAGAGGATCACTTGAGGCCAGAAGTTTGAGACCAGCCAGCACAACATAGTGAGACACTGTCTCTAAAAAAAAAGTTTTGTTTTTTTTTAAATTAGCCAGGCAAGGTGGTGCACCCCTGTAGGCCCAACTACTCAGAAGGCTGAGGCAGAAGGATGGCTTGAGCCCAGGAGTTCAAGGCTGCAGTGAGCTCTGATTGCATCACAGCACTCCAGACTGGACAACAGAGTGAGACCCCGTCTCTTAATAAATAAATGCACATGAGGGGAAAGAAATCCAGAAATAACTAAGTTAACCACAAAAATGTCAAGATTGCAGAATTGAGAGCTAAATTCAACTTTTGGGAGACAAACTTGACTGGGCGCAGTGGCTCAAGCCTGTCATTCCAGCACTTTGGGAGGCCAAGGGGAGGGGATTGCCTGAGCCTGCGGGCTCAAGACCAGCCCGGGTGACTTGATGAGACCCCCTCTCTACAATTAAAAAAAAAAAAAAATAGCCGGGAGTGGTAATGCGCCTATACTTCCGGCTCCTTGGAAGGCTAAGGCTGAAGGATTGTTGGAGCCCAGCAGGTTAAGGCTGGGGTGGCTGTGAGCATGCCATGGAACTCCATCCTGGGTGATAGGGTGAGACTCTGACTCAAAAACAAACAAAACAAAACTTATATTTTTACATATCTTCTCTATAGCTAGATGATTTGTAGCTCTTAGAACTACAACTCTTAAAGAGTAGCAAGTGAAGAATTCCAGAACATAAGACATTTGTAAAAGGATATCGATTCTAAAAAGTCAACAATAAGTTACTTCTGAAAACACAGATACATATTCTAAAAGAAATTTTAAAATCAAGAAATGCCAAGTTATAGAGAAAAAGGCGGGTTGGCATGATCATTTTAGACAAAGGTGATTCTTCTTACCTCTGTTACCAGTTGCTGAAGAGCCGGGGATGCCACAGGATGCAGGCTTGAGTTCCCCCTTACAGGACTATGGAGGCTGATATAAGCCACAGCATTCTTCTGAAGAACCTTCCTGAAATCCTAAAATCCAAAAAAGGATCCGTTTTTAACATAAATAAGATAGAAAATTCTACTTTATTAGTCATATGTTGAATAATAAACACCTCATAATTAAGAGTATTATGCTGCAATTCTATACTATTTAATAAAGTGCACAGCCGGGCTTCGTGGCTCAGCCTGTAATCCCGCACCTTTGGGAGGCTGAGGTGAGTGGATTGCCTGAGCCTGCGGGTTCGAGACCCGCCTGGGCAACTTGGTGAGACCTCATCTCTACAATAAATCAAAAATTAGCTGAACGTGGTAGCGCACGCCTGTAGTTCTAGCCACTTGGAAGACTGAGGCGGAAGGATCGCCAGGGCCCAGTAGGTCGAGGCTGCGGTGGCCGGGAGCGGCCACTGCACTCCAGTCTGGGCGATGGAGTGAGACTCCAACTCAAAAAATAAAAATAAAAAAATAAAAATAAAATAAAGTGCACAAATATTATAAAAAGAATTTCTAAAAAGGGTGGTGAGGAGTTAGATGCAACATATAATATAGTATTTTAAAGCTTGTGCCTGACAATAGTCAAATTTTAGAAAGAAATATACTTAAAAGGTAACAGAGCATGAGATTCAACTACAGAATACAGAATCAAATGTTTGCTTCAGAGATAGAACTGACTTTCAGAGTCACTGAGTTAGATACAGATAAAATACTTCAGTGACTGATAAAACTAGCCCTTTCTTTTGAGGCAATGAGCTGCTTTCAGCACAAGGTACACCTTTATTCTGGGTAAAATGGGGCCTAATACAATTGTGAGCTTGCAAATAATTACATTATATAAAACCGGACACACTTTATGCACATCAGTAGTCCGTAGTGATTCCATATAATATTTTCCACTTCTCTGCTGATCTCTACCCCACAAAATTTAACATCACAGATGCCATTAATTAGGTACGACTAAGTTCTTCTGTTATTTTCCTGCCTTATTTGCACACATATTTAATGAGTAATTGTCATGGTGGCAGTTCTATTAAAAAATCCTAAAAATTATATTTCATCATGTCTTGGGAAAGTATCTTTCTTCTTCCAACGATAAGAAATTAAAGATTGCAAAGACTTGTATACCTAGCAAATCAATAATAATATACTTATTTAATTTCTATTTCCTTTTTAATTGTAAAATTACAGTTTATAGCTTAAATGTATGGGGCACAGAGTGATGTTATGATTTATGAAAAATGTGTGGAATAATTAAATCAAGCTAGTTAACATATCCATCACCTCAAACACTTAAAATTTTTGATGAGAACATTTGAAATTTATTCTAAGCAATTTAAAAATGTACAGTAATCTAATGTTAACTATGTGCACCATGTTGTGCAACAGAACAAAAACACATACATATATTCCTCCATCTAGCTGAGACTTTGTGGTCTCTGATCATCATTTTTTCATTTCTCCCATCTCCCAGCCTCTGTAGCCACCATTCTATACTCTGCTACAGATGAATGAATAAAGAAAATGTGAGTATCTATATTTTCTTTCTCAAGATATATTTTCTTGATTATATACATAAATCATATTTTCTTTATTCATTTACACACACACACATACACATACAGTGGAAAACTATTCAACCTTAAAAGGAAAGAAATTCTGTCATTTGAGACAACATGGGAAGAATTGGAGAATATTATGTTAAATGAAATAAACCAGGCACAAATACTGCATGATCACTGTTATCCATATATTATTTCTGAAGCTCAGCTACACCTCTGTAAGACAATGAAAAGACAATCATTTAAAAGTGATAAATATTTTAAATGAGCAAAAATGATTAATTTTAAGCTTAAGTAATTATGATATTGCTTGAAAAAGTCTATTGTTACTTAAGTGCTAAGAAAAAACAGCTTCTTATATGCCATATAGAGGCTGTCCAATATTCATCCATTTAATTTTCATGAGAAACTCAGAAGATAGGCATTAATGTACTCATTTGAAGAATCAAGTCTTAAAGATGTTAATCTTGCCTAAGACTACATGTCTTATGGTAGAGATGATTTGAACTGATTTTTTTTACTCTAAAATATGTAGTATTTCCACAATAGCCTGTGAAAAATATTCTTCACAGAAGAAACGGTACTTTTTAAAGTAAATAACCTATCTAGTAAAATGTTATAATTGACCTCAAAAACCAAGATAATTGACTCAATTCTCTAATAATTTTATATGTTCCATTTTTATTTATTTTTATTTATTTTTTATTTTTTTATTTTTTTATTTTTATTTTTGAGTTGGAATCTCACTCTGTCGCCCAGACTGGAGTGCAGTGGCCACTCCCGGCCACCGCAGCCTCCACCTGCTGGGCTCCTGCGATCCTTCCACCTCAGTCTTCCAAGTAGTCGGAATTACAGGCATGCACTACCACGCCAGGCTGATTCTTTCATTTATTGTGGAGATGAGGTCTCGTCAAGTTGCCATAAGTTCCATTTTTAAAGTTTATTGACTAACACTACGTAATCCTCTTAGCTCCAGTTGTGGGTTTCCAGAGGTTTCTATGCAAGCAAAATTAAATAGGGCAACATAACGTGTCGATAAGAGCTTTCCTAACTCATTTTCACAAGAGAATATTAATTTAGAGCATAAGTTGGTTTCAGTCTAAAATAAAATGTTGCATTCTTATGAGTAGATTTGATTAGACAAGACAACTAACAGTTTTTTAAGTTTCTCTTCAACTAAATGGTTACAATATGGCTTCATGAACTACAAGGAAAAAAGTTTGAGAAAATAAATTGTAAAAATACATTTTATAAGTCAATAATAAATGTATATTATTCACAATCATCTTCATTGCCTACATGACTTTGCCTATCAAGTCATGTAAAAAGCCATAAAGTGACTGAATGTATAAAAAGTTTTCAAATATACATACATATATAAATTTCCAAAGAAAGGATATCTCTCATCTTTTAAAATAGGAGCACCTTTTCTAACATTTTGTTCCTGTGGATTCTCACATTGTAGTGGTTGTATTTTTAGTATCTGTTGATTGAGGAAATATATTTCAAATTACCAAAAGGTACAATGAACTCATTAAAACTTTTAGATGAATTTGTATTTTATTAGCCACAAAAATATCTACTTAATTGAAAAAAATAATTGCTCACATATGTGCAAGCCCACAGTAAATCAACTAACAGGCTCTGATGCTTGGTGCTAAAAAAAAATTCAAGGACTTTTCAATAAAATTTTCTATCCATTGGGGCTCAAGATATTTAAGGTAGAAACTACTAATGTTAGACAAGCTTACTTTGTAATGTAATTCAGAAATAAACATTAATTTAATATTAACAAATTGTGAAAGGTATCTAGAAGATATGATATGGTATGAAATAGTGGAAGAAATCTTTAGATTTTGGGAAGAATCTTTAAGACAGTTCCTTAATATGTACAAGATTTCTTGTTACAAGAAATCTAAAGCATTGTTTCATGGGTTCTGAATTACCCATAAAAGTCCAGATCACAAACATAGTCCTTAAATCGTTCTTTAACTTGTTTACCAATCTTTAAAGTAAGTAATTTGAAGTGGGAGTTTAAGAAGTTGGTTCAGCTATTACATTTCCATCTTACTTACAGATTTGTCAATTTTAAAAGGTTCTTTGAGCAATGGAATTTTTTGCATTTGATGTAGTTCTTTTGAATATGGATCAAACAGTCACACCACTAATTTGCATATGGAAAAGCATTCCAATTTGCAATGTGTGAATCTTGAATTTACAATGAAACATTTTCTCATCTTTAAGACTTTTCTTTCCTCTAAATTAAAAAGATACTTGCTATTTTCCTTTCTATACCTTTTTGATATTTTCTTTGATATTCAATAAACATTTTATCTTTTCTTAAGAGCTTAAAAATGTTACAAGAGAATTTCCCATTAGTTTTTGGGTTTTTTTTTTCACTCAAAGCTGAAGTAGTGGGGGAAATAAACTAGAATATTAAATGATTTAACATTTCTAGTAAAATTATTTAGTCTTTTTTGGTCTACAAATTTCTATAGAACCTCTTTTTCAAAAAAATCATAAAAGCAAATCGAATATCTAAGAGGTTTTTTGTTTTTTTGAGTTGGAGTCTCACTCTGTCGCCCAGACTGGAGTGCAGAGGCCCCTCCCGGCCATCGCAGCCTCGACCTGCTGGGCTCCGGAGATCCTTCCGCCTCAGCCTTCCAAGTAGCTGGAACTACAGGCACGCACTACCATGCCTGGCTAATTTTTTTGATTTATTATAGAGATAAGGTCTCGCCAAGTTGCCCAGGCGGGTATCGAACCCGCGGGCTCAGGCAATCCACTCACCTCAGCCTCCCAAAGCGCAGGATTACAGGCTGAGCCACCGAGCCAGGCTGTCTAAGAGTTTTACAATGATTTTCATTGCTGTTAATATAACATCAATCCAGTATTCAGTTGCCATAGTCTATTAAAAATCCATTCCATTTGTGAGACACAGACCGGTCAGAAGCATTTGAAATTTAAATATTCCGGCTGTATTCTAACTGTGCCTCATTGAATGCTAGATTCCACTTGGAAACAGGCTTCCTAAGGTAGTGAGGCAGGCAGATAGGAAGTTAGGTAGGCAGGAAAGAAAAGGTAAGGCAACAGGAGTGAAGGGCAGAGTGGTAGGAGAAGGGAGAAGTGGAGAGAAGGAAGAAGGAAAGTAACCGCTGTTTTAAATTCAGTCCCTGTATTGTACAGATCAAATATAACGCTAAGTTAATAAACATTAAATATGGGCGATTATTCTCTAATTCCAGATAATCCCTGAAAATTTTCTTTTTAAAAGAAAGCTAACGATATGTATGGCCGGATCCTTTCTTGGCCAGTGTCTGTCTTCTAAGGAGAAATACAGTAATGGGGTAAACACTCTTGTAAGTTACAATGTATCAAAGTCATAGGTCTGATAACAATAGGGATAAGAGAATTGGAGATCAGATGCAGTTTACTGTGGTCTAGTTCCCCCTTATTCCTATAAGTGATTTCAGCAAAGTAGCAGACATAACACCCTGATTGAGAAGCACATTATCATCTTTGGCTTTATAGTTTTACTGTGTAAACTTTAGCCAAACTTAATAAATAAATAAAAAGGGGGAAAAAAGCATTGTGATGAATGTTTTATTTTACCTCTCCCCATTCATACGAGCCAATCTTGCCAAAAGCTGTTCCTCCCCATGAACAGAAAACAATCGTGCGTTTGGGTCTCCACCCTGTCTTAACTCTTGACATCAAGGCCTGGATAAAAGCTGTGATTATTGCAGTACTACTGGCCCATTCTTGTCCGGTATAACTGAATGCAGTATGATGGTGGCTGCCAACTATGACATACCGGTCTGGAAATAGAAGGGAACAAGAGCCATTAAAGAAAAGGTAAACCTTAATAATAAACTTAATAACATTTACATAATCCTATTGCACAACTGCGCAACAATTAAGCAAAATTGTTCTACTAATTAAGACTCCTTTAATATCTTTTCACCCACTGTCTTGATGAACACATCTGTGTATATCAAAGCAGAGGCAGCTGCTGAACCCAATTATGAATCCAAAGCCAGGATCCATGTCGTTGTCCTTTACGACATGAATATTAATTAGTGAAGTATACACATATGCTACAATGAAACCCTTATCTAACATTTTTTCAGAATCATAGTAGGAAGTACCCTGTAAACAATGGGTATGCTCAGTAAATATTAATGAACTATGAAAGTATTTGAGGAAATAGTTATTCAGTAGCTGTAAACAAAAATGTGATAGTCACGTATGGATGTTGCAATACATTAAGTGTTTAGGAAATTAATGACTGCTTCCAACTGGGAGTTTTTGCCCCTCTCCTTGCTTTGAAGAAAAAAATAAAATCAACAATGATCAAATGTCATTCAACTACTGTAAAGTTTGTCTTTTTGCATATTTTGTTTCATATAATCACCCAAAATTCATTAGTATACTATTAGGAAAGTCTCCATGATACATGGATGGGGCCTGTTCAGTGACAATCACTATTGTCAGCAATGAGGTAGGAGGACAATGCGCCTCGAGAGCTTTTTCTGTCTTTGTCATCAGTAAATGGTACTGGAAGTAATAACAGAGCTGAATTTATTTGATCAGTTGTCTTCACTGAATATCATTCCGAGATGGCCTGGAACTGGATGGCATATTGTGCAGACTCTGAATCCAGACTGTTTGGCTTTGTGTAACCCAAAGGATTTTTAAAACTTTCTGCCTTAGCTTTCTCAACTTTAATGATACAAATAATACATCCATCATTCAGTTGTTTTGAATTTGATATGAAATACTATTTGTAGGCACTTTGAGTAGTGCCTGACACAAGGTAGGCGTCACACAGATATGGAATAAATGAATCATCCTTTGCCTTCATAACACTAAAAAGCTACTGTACAAGAAATGGCCCAATGTGAAGCTATTTTAGTTTTACACATTGATTTTTGGAATTAGTAATGAATTTTATGTGACAATATTTTATCATGATTGAATTAATGGTAGACACCATGGGTCTGCAGATGTTGAAAACCTAAGAATTTATTCACTTATCTCCCAGAAATGCCTTAATTTTCTGCTTGGCATTTTCTGTATTCTAAATAAACCATTTTGAAAAGCCTAATACTAACTGACGATTTTTTCTAACTCCTACAGTCATTAAATAAGAAAATCATGTGACCAAACAATCAACATTTTTGTGTAAAATTCAAATAAGCAAAGTTTCAGAAGCTTTGTATATCATATACTGATGAATACTAATGGAAAATTGATTTTTTAAATTCTGTGCTTTTTTTGCAGATTGAATTTTCTTTACTCTAAAGCTAGTATAATTTGTACAACTGGGTTTTCCAATAATAACTTGCAAATGTGGCAATGAAGAGAAATATTCTAGTGCCTCAATTAGAGAACCTTATGATGGTAATTTGCTGAAATCAATGGTGACAATTTCCAAATTTATTTATATTTTGAATTTAAAGACACTATTATCATAGGTTGTTTAACATTGCTTCTGTAAAGAAATCAGAGAATAAAATATAAAACATGATCTCAAAATTCTCTGAGTTAGCAATTAGGTCACTTTTACTAAATCATGGAGAAGAAAAATTCTCCAAGCAGAATTTGAGAAAATGTCCCAGGAAACCAATAGAAGTGGCATAAGTATAATAAAAAGATTGTTGCACATTATATTCTATAACAGGCACATCAGACAGTAATATGTGATTCAGCCTTACAATGTATTTGTAAGTGTTAATTAATATATGAGATAGTTATGTATTTTTTTATCTACATTATAGCATCTGTAGATTCCATCAGCAGCCCATAACAAGGTGTAAAGTTATTTAAAATCTAACCAAGTGATTATTTTCATGAGCACCTTTAAACCTAAAGCCATTCAAATGGAATTGGTAATGGACCAAGGGTAGGGAAAGAGACATAGATTAACATTGAAAAACTATATTTGGAGACAAAACCTTATATGTCAAAACAACACATAATTTTAAAACAAGATATTTCTCTTTAAAATGTATTTTATTGATAAAACTAAAAATTTCAATGGTCTTATAGTGAATAAAAGAAAAAAAAAATTGGCCTTTGTAGCACATGATAATTTAACAAATCTAAACTGTTTCTTGTTTCATTTCCCCCCAGTTTCTGACTCTCTCTCTCTCTCTCTCTTTCTCTCTCTCTCTCTCTCCCCTAAAATTTATTTTTGAAGAGGTATGGGAAGAAGACAGTAAAGATTTACCTCTTATTTATTCCTTATTAATACACTCCTGGAATGGAACAAAATTCTAGTTACATCTAAAGTAAGATATTTAACTTTGATATTAAATTATCATAGAGCATTTCTTCAAGAATTTTTATATACACTGTAGAGTATAAATATTTAACCCTACTTACCTGGAGATTCCAAGCCCATTACATATCCAACAACATTAGTAACTGCTTTGAATTTTGCAACTGTCTGAACTTGCATGCTGACAATTCTTATTTCTGAAAAAATAAAAATTTAAAGATGCTTGTTTCTCTATATTCTGTTGAGTTTTTTCCTTAAAACATTACATTTATCTAATATAATCAACAAAATAATTACACACAATCGAACGTTTCCAGATAACCAAAATGACACTTTTTTGACAAATATTTATTCAATACTTTGTGCGGACTCTATTTTAGAAGCATGCTACACAACGATAACTAAGACACAACTGCCAGTCTCAGAAAACTTCAGAGTCATAAACAGACAACTCTAAACTTACATTCATGGCCACAGTGGGATTACAATATGAGAGCACACAGAAACCTTAGGAGGTGTGGGCAACTCATATTTTTAAAAGGGGAAAAAAATAGATTGTTAAAAACGTTAAAGAATATTGAACAGTTTTTCCATCTTCAGAAAAGAACACGTGGAAGAAAAAAACCTGCCTATAAGAAATGTTTCTATCTATGCCTAACTTGGACCAACTACCCTGCCTCAATGTCAGATAGAAATGCAGATCTGAAGAACTGAAGGAAGACTATTTGAAATTATAGATAGGTAAACATAATGTGATGTTAGTTTGCTTTACCAAATTTCCTTTTTTAAAAAAAACCAATTAACTATAGCACAAATAAAACCAATAAAAAATGAACATGTGGAAGACAATTTCACCTTTTCTGTATAACTCACTGTTTTGTTAGCACTTTAAAAACCATAAATAAAGCACTGCACAAATTAAAAGGATAAAGATTCTTCAAGCTTTACATATTTTTATATATTGGAGTATTTATTCTACCTGGGTTTGCAAGTCCCTCACCTTTATTTTAAATCCCCATTAGTTGCTTATCTCTGAGTTCTTCTGTTTATGCTCGATAGGCAAAGATTTGCAAATAAGGCAAAGATGCCAATCAGGAGGGCCTCCAGTCTCAGCACTGACATGGTATTTGAAGGCCTCTGGTGGTGAAACGTGTTAATTCTGTATTAGATGGGTCCTGGGCAGTATGGGGGTGATTTCCAGGATCCTTAAAGTTTTTGTTTTTGTTTTTGAGTCATGGTCTCACTCTGTCACCCAGGCCAGAGTGCAGTGGCACAATCAAGGCTCACTGCAACCTCAACCCGGTGTGCTCAGATGATCCTTCCACCATAGCCTTAGTTAGTTAGTTGGAACTACAGGCGCACACCACCTTGCCTGCCCAATGTTTTTTAATATATCGTAGGGGGAGATCTCATTATGTTGCCCAAGCTGATCTTAAACTCCTGGATTCAAGAGATCCTCCTGCCTCAGCCTCCCAGAGAACTGGGATTATAGGCATGAGTCACCACACCCAGCCTTACAAAGCAGAGGTTTAAGAGCAGCCAGGGGGTAGTGTCAGGGCACAGGGTGGTAATTTGAAAATAGCTAATGCAAAGTATCTACACTATCCTGGCAGGCCCTTAAATGTCACTTCTTCCTGCTAGATGATAATTGTAATGCTAAATATGTTGCTTCTTGGCTACAATGTACCCTTTCAAACAATTTAAATGGAAAATCAATACACTGAATGTTAAAATAATAACCAAAAAAAAGAGATCTTGAGAGAATGCTTTGTGCTGCATCTATAGGTAAGGAAATGTACTTAGAGCCTGAATATTGTGCTTTTAACTTAGATGCCATGCATTTTTGTTAGCTTGTTTTTAAATTAGACTTCGGGTTTTTGTTTTGTTTTGTTTTGTTTTTGAGTTGGAGTCTCACTCTGTTGCCCAGACTGGAGTGCAGTGGCCGTGTCTGGCCACGGCAGCCACGACCTGCCGGGCTCCGGCAATCCTTCCGCCTCCGCCTTCAGAGTAGCTGAAACTTACAGGTGCGCGCTACCACGCCTGGCTGATTTTTGACTTATTGTAGAGATGAAGTCTCGCCAAGTTGCCCAGGCGGGTCTTGAACCCGCGGGCTCAGGCAATCCACTCACCTCAGCCTCCCAAGGCGCGGGATTGCAGGCTGAGCCACCCAGCCCGGTGAAGACTTCGTTTTTTTGAGAAGTTTTAGGTTTACAGAAAAATCAAAGAGAAAATACAGAGTTCCCAAATACCCTCTCTTTCCCCAGCCTCTTATTAGTAACATCTTGCCTTAGTGTGGAATGTTTGTTTACAATTGATCGACCAATATTAATACATCATTATTATTAACGAAAGTCCACAGGTTGACTTTCTGTGTGTCTCATGTTCATAGGCTTCGACAAATGCATAATGACATATATCTACCATTCGGTGTCATACAGAATGGTTCCACTGTTCTAAACATCCCTGTGGTCCACCTATTCATCCTTCCCTCCCGGCCTCCCAAAACTCCTAGCAACCACTGTTTCAACCATCTTTTTACTGTCTCCATAATTCTGCCTTTTCCAGAATGTCACATGGTTGGAATCATGTTTGCTTGTTTTTAATGTTGATTAAATTCCCTGTTCTACGTTTGTTCCAAATAATCGAAATAACTGAACTTTAGAGTAATTACAGGTTCTATTTGATCTTTTCAGTTTATTTTGAATTTAGATAAGGGTTAAAAAATATCCCTTAGTTTTCTAAGATTCAGTATTACATTTTCTTTTTTCTAATTCAGTAGTGAAAAATACCTCACAATACGTACCAAATACAACTTGGAATATTGCCTTACACTAATATAGTGACTTATAATTTACAATAGCCATTTTCACACACACACAGACACATGTTAATTCTCATTAGTTCTCTTTGATCTTTGAAACTGCCAAGTGAAATAGATTCTATTGTACTTGAATAAAATGCGTAGGGGAAGAACTGAGGCTCAAATTCAGGTCTTCACATAACATTTTTATCTGAACAACGAAGTGTCTTTCACTCTAAGAATCCATCCTAGGATTTTAATTACTAGATATTTCTCATATATATATAAAATAATAAAAAATAATATAACATACAGTAACGATCCACATCTAGATTGAATATGTTATTTTGCTAGATGTTCTTCCTCCTGCCTCTGCCTCCCAAAATGCTGGGATTATAGACATGAGCCACCGTACCCTTTCCCAGTAATCAAATAAACACAATCTTACAGATTTGGTTCTTACCCTGAGGTTAATGGTAATCACTTCCATGCAAGGATTTTATTATACAGATATAGATATATTGATAGATTGACAAGTGGATTGCTAGATATTATTATAAACAGTCATAGATATAGGCATAGGCACAGACATAGATATAAATTATTTCCTTGCAGACTTTAATCATTTTACGTAAATTATATCATATTTTTTCATATAGTACTATATTTTCCACAATTTTCCATGAAAGTAATATAGATCTGTATCATTTATTTTAACTGTTAAATAGTATTGGGTTATAGAATCAACCTCAGTTTATTTTTCAGTTCAATTATTAAGAATTAGAGAGGTTGTTTCTACTTCAATATTATAGTGTGGCAAAGAATATTTTTACATTTCTTGTGCACATGTGACATACTTTCCCTGAATAAATAATAGAAGTAGAATTTCTGGATTATAACATATGTATTACATCTTTCACTTTATTTGGTATAAAGAAATTGATTCTCAGACATTTTAAATTTTACAATCTCATGGGTACAAGGATTATATTATTTTTAAATTTGTATTTCCCTGATTACTATTGAGGGTTAGCAATTTTTCATTTGTATAGTCATCATTCAAGTTTCTTGTTCATATTCTTTGACAATTTTTCTTTTAATTGATTTAATTTCCCCGCCCTTCTAAGATGGGGGTCTTGCTATGTTGCCCAGTCTGGACTCAAATTTGTGGGTTCAAATGACCTTCCTGTCTCAGTCTTCCAAGTAGCTATGACTATAGCTATATACCATATAGCTTGTGTCCAGCTTCTCTGAATTATTTAGTATTTTGTTGTTTTGTTTTGTAGGGGCTCTTTCTTATGAATATTATTTCCTTATTAATCATTTATATTACAAATACTTTCAGTCTGTGATTTACGTTGCCCTGTCTTTAAAAAATACAGTCAAATGTATCAATATTTTTCTTGTGAATTTTGGGAATTGTTTGTTTTGTTTTGTTTAGGAAATATTCTCATATTCTGATGTCATAAGAATGTTCCCCAAGTGTTTTAAAAGCTGAATTTTAAAATTTATGTCATTAAGCTAGCCAGAATATATTGTGAAGCAGCTTTCCAATGTTGCCTCTACAGACTTATGGTAGCCAATTGTTCTCATATGACTTATTTAATAATTCTTTTTTTTCTGTGAAATATTAGTAGAGCTGCTGTCATATAAGTTCTAACTGACATACATTTGTTTTTATTCTTGCTACTACATTCTTCTGTCTCTCTCCCTCTTTTTTTTTTTTTCTTTTGGCAACAGGATCTTTCTCTGTCATCCAGGCTAGAGTGCATTGGCACAATCATGGTGCACTGTAACCTCAATCTCCTCAGCTCAAGTGATCTTCCCACCTCAGGCTCCCAAGTACCTAGAACTAAAGGTGTGCACCATCACATCCAGTTAGTTTTCTCTTTTTTTAGTTTTTTGTCTCACTATGTTACCCAGGCTGGTGTCAAACTCCTGGCCTCAAGTGATCCTCCTGCCTCTGCCTCCCAAAATGCTGGGATTACAGACATGAGTCACCACGTCCAGCCTTGCACTTCATTTTAACCAGTGCCATAATGTTTTAATTAATATAGCTTTGTAATGTCTGAAATGGCAAATCCTCTATCATCACCATCACCACCATCATTATCATCTAATTGTAATTATATAGTTTTGAGGTTATTTATGAACTGTTATTTTTATATGAACATTTATATGAACTTTTCATGCATTATAAAATGAAAACTCAGGATTTCATTAGAATTGTATGAAATTAACATGCCCATTTGAGTCTTCAATGCATGACTAAGGTGTGCCTCTCAATTTATTGTAGTTGTTTTTATATTTTTTATTAAAATTTTATATTTTCTCCATAACATTTGTACATAATGTTTTGTACAACTGTTATTAATTGTATTTTTATGATTTCCTAGC